ATCGAAAGCACTACTCCTACTAGTCCGCATGAGAATTTTTTCAAGCTGTAAATATCGACTCAATCTAAACTACATTTAATCATGAGTTATATCACAATACTCGTCTAATGAATTTCGAATCAGTTCCGAACAACCAGATCAGCTTCACTAAACTGAAATACTTCAAACTTCTGCCTAAAATTATACCCTTAATTGTAATTATAAGCTACTCTCAGCTGATGTGCAACCTTGAGATAGAATGCATTTATTTGATTCTGCAGATCGTGTGTCTTCTTGATAAAAACTACCAACATCCTCAGATGGATGAAATGATTGAAAGCATGTCCGTGTTATATCAAAATGTACAGTGTGATTTCTGTATAAACCATGACACTTGTATGTAATATGTGGGAAATAAATTAGCCCTGTTTTCAGTCACTAAATTCGTTAGATAATATACTACAAAATCAATACACAAAGCATTAGTATTGATTGATTGAATCATCTCATTGATGTTTAGGACTCGAACTTGCCGGTCTCTTTTTGAGATATCCCTGCAAATTCCCTCAGTATTGTCATTAAACCACAAGGACTTTAAAAAGAAATGGATGGGGTGTAGAGGTGGAATCCAGAATGGGTGTCTCCTTCAACGTGAGACTCCTCAGTTGGACACACCTATACAAACCAGTGACTATCTGGACTCAGTAGCTAAGTTGATAACGCGACAGCTTTAGGAGCGAACGGTACAAGATTCGAACGCGGGAGAAGATATCGTCATTGAGCCATCGTTTCATCCAGCTGATGAGTCCCGAATAGTACAAAACGAGCGTCCTGAATTCTACTACTACTCACTATTCGTCTTTCCCAATACACAGCTGACATTCATATAAAAGTGAAAAGTAAATGTGAAAAAATGTCGTATATTGACGTGAAACCTGTACGATAAGGAAGTATTTTGCGGTTAATATCAAAACGAATTCGGGTATTCTTCTTTATACCTTAATTAACAGCATTAAAAAAGTTTATTAGCCTCAACTTTAAAGCAATATATGTTCATTGTATCTGAGTGGACACGTTTTGCGCGCATGGTGAGAAACAAACTATCTCTGACTGCAACTATGTTCGAATTTGGATCTCAACTAGTGCTTACTGTAGAAATTATTGGCTTTTACATGCATATTAAAACAACCGTAACCGATTACATCATTTTATTATTTATTTAAACACATAAATGTTGGTACAACGAAGCACCAGATATATATGCGCCACGCAAACCTCATTTGATTTGTGTGAGGGCTGTGATACTGACCAGGTGCCCAAACTGAAGGTGGTTTTCTTATGGGGCCACACCCTAAGCATTTGACCTGAAGATCTGATCCACAAGGTAGTGGAACATCGTGAGGAGATGCAGTCTCATGGTAGCCGGTGACCAATGATTGATTCATACGCCATTTGTTCCGTCAGGATACTGGAGCTCATGTGCACCATTCGTTTGGAATGAAGGTTTTCCAACTCCCCTAGGTGGACTTGCCGTTTCCACCGACCCGGTTAAGGCGCCGGACATTCGCTTTTCATCCTCTCAATTTCGTAAACAACACCCGTGGTGCGAGAAGGCAGTAAGTAGGACTTCCCTGGTAGAGGCTGTATATGCGTGGCCATGTGAGAGCATTTCGAGAGGGAGAGTAGACTCTCCCCACTCTCGGTTTTATCAGGGCATTATATCGCTTAATAATTTCTAAAATTATATCATTTTAGAAATTATTAATATTAGGCGATAGGTTTGAGTAGTGGAATGGGGAAAAATGTAAGGAATGATTCATTAATATGGGACAAGTATGGGTAATAAATTTGAACCAGTTGTTTTCATGGTATTTGAACTTTTCCACAACGACCAGCCATATCACTATGGATTCATGATTATTATTTGTCAATATAGTCAAGTTAAAATTCCTAGAGTAATGACTAACAACAAAACTTGGGGTGTTTTGTCGTTGTTACTGTTAACGAACGAACGTCGCAAACACTCACCGAAACCTCACCCACTGAGCTATTGAGTTACATAATTCACTTCTTTAACAGGCTTTAGGTAAAAATTTCCAGTGGATAATTGGACAGGGCGAATCTAGCAAGCAGTTTCAGCGTTATAGAGAGTGGATTATAGAATCAGTGATGCCATACATTTTAGATTACTAAAATGATAAACAGAATACTGGTAGACAGATGATCTAGAAAGATAGAATGTGATTGACTGAGAACTGCTTGGGAGAGTTAATGACACAAGCTCCAGAATAAACAGTTACTGAAAGGCGACACAACTCCCAATTGTAAAACAACTTTGTTATGCACAAAATCTTAAAAATGTCACCAACCGTTGTTTGAGACATAAGCGATCGGTAAATCAAGGCTCAATAGATCACTCTAACGCCAATGACAGTAAAGCCTGACTACTAGTCCTACTGCTCTGCCTACCATATCGCAAGGATACCATCATTTCGCCTTTGATTGTGACACACCATATTTAATAATAATCGGCAACAGAACAATGAGATAGAATTTCTCCTTGTTCGGGACTAAACACTGGGATTTACCAACAATAATGAGCTTACTGGAGCGTCCTGATGCTGACAACCAGGACATTTATGCTGGTAAATGTACAAGTGGATATGCCAAAATGAATCAGTCATTAGCATGAGGGTTTTTTGGTTGAGTCTAATAGTTTACAACACGGACTGACAATCGGTGAAGAGCTATTGAAAACTAAGAAGCATCGGAAAACCGTTTTACTCCAATATGGGACTCGTCATGAGTATGCACATATGACCTTGTCGGAATCGGATGCGTAGCCTATAGGCCTTACCGCGAACGTCTGACTTTGAGATCAGAGTTAATATCCAGTCTTTTATACATCTAATTTTAACCAAGTTGTTATAGCGATTGGTAAGTAATTGCCTCATATTCCTAATGGTTGAACTTCATAGGTTACAACTTCTCAGGTACTGGGTCCAATATATGGTGGAGCTGTGAATGCACACTTCTAAATCCCATACTAGAACGACATGACTGCCCGTTTCTTCCTGGTTTTGTCATCTACAGACAAGTCAGTTCAGTTATCCGCATAATATACAGAAAATTTCAAGCTGAAATATTAAGCATTTAATCATGAAGTAAATTATTTACAACAATCCTAAATGAAAAACTAGAATGGTTACTTAATGTTGGAATGATCCAGAAAATTTCTTGCAATAGACATGACAAGCTAAGGAAACATTAAGAAGCATTTTATCCAATCAGAGTTTAATTAAAAGTTTTGCTAGAAACATCACGAAAGTGAAAAGTCAGATGTAGAGTTTCTGATTAGCTGATTACTACACTGCGACCATGTTTAGTAACATTCCAGAATTTTCAGGAAAACCCAAGGACTTCTAAAATACTACAAAAATCCTATATTTTCTGTACGCGAATGAACCATTGGAGTAAGGTGCTTCTAGCATATTTTGCGCCTTTTCTCTCATGTTCAAGTCAGTGTGTAGTTCTAGCTTGGGAGTTACGAGACTAGCTTAGGATCCGAGTATAGCGTTCAGTTAGTAAGACTTATCACTTAGTAACCATGCTAATTCACAATTGATGCTTGATTTGAAGATAGAATGCTTTTAATACAACAAATAATAAATAATTCAGGTAACTTGATTTTGTAGATTCATGAAAAACCAACGAATTACAAAACCTAAACTCCATGTTTCCGATGTAATTTACAAAGTCAAAAACGGGCTAATTTACTCTCAATCGATTTGCACAATATAACAAGAAAACAAGAGGGAGAAAATGAACAAAATCGCTATGTAGAATTATCTTGCTTACTTACTTACACCTGTTACCTCTCGTCGAGGAGCATAGGCCGCTCACTAGAATTATCTGTAGTGTAGTAAATATATATATCATATCACATATGAAATGATCCGTTGACCAGACACTATCAGCAACAACCTACTGTGAGAGAGAACAAACCAAATTTCAGCGGAGGTAGAAATAAGGAAGAAGCTCTGAAAGTAGATAGGATACATATTGAGGAAATCACCCAATTGCGTCACAAGGCAAGCCCTCACATGGAATCTTGAAGGCCAAAGGGAAAGAGGAAGACCAAAGGACATGTTACGCCAACAAATTGAGATAGACATGAGAAGAATAAAAAACAATTGGATAGAAGTATAAAGAAAGGCCCAGGACAGAGTGGGTTGGAGAACGCTGGTGGGCGGCTCATGCTCTATTGGTAGTAACAGACGTAAGTTAAAGTTGGTGTTTGCCAGAATTGGATGATTGTCTGTGCATAGTAGCAACAGACGATCACCATTATCTGTTGTACGTCAGTTAAAACTAGGGAAATTGTTATAGAGTTCAATAAATTCTTTAATTTACCACTTATTACTTTTCTGTTATTCTAATAAACTCTTATAGTCGAAATGATGGTAGATAAGGTTATTTTCACCATTTATTAGAGACGTGTTTTATTTTGAGTATAATGTAATATTTCACCTATACTAGTGTGACTTTGGAATCCTGAAGGACAAAGGAGAAGAGGATGACCAAGAAACCCATTACACCGAGAAATGAAGACAGACATAAGAAGAATGAACAAGAATTGGATAGAAGTATAAAGAAAGGCCCAGGACAGAATGGGCTGGAGTATGCTGGTCGGCAGTTTATGCTCCATTGGGAGGAACAGGCGTAAGTAAGTAAATAATCCACTCAAATGAACTCAGCTATAGAAGAAAAACATCAATTAGTTACTAATTGAACTAAAATCTGAAAACTAATCACAATCAAAAAATCTCTATACAAATAATATAAGTATATATCCAATGATGAAATATTTACAATATATTTTATACAATGTTTCTTTTGTCAAGGAATATACAAAACTAGAATTTCCCCTCCCCTTTGTTTGAAGATTCTTTCCCATTAAAATTTTTTAAAAAAAAGTGAATTCATATACAGAAAAGTGAAGTGAACACTTAATCAAATAATTAATCTGATTCAACGATAATTGCATGTATTCCAGCTGCCTTTCTATCTAGATAACGTTGACGTGCAGCAGCTAATTCTTCATCGGTAGTTACACGTGGACGAGCTGTTATTACTCCAGGTATTTTTTGATTCTTTTTATTTAGATAAGTATCTAGATCTTTCTTTGGTTGATGAGAGGCTTTGCTGTATAATTGAGAAAATGTAATATAAGTATTTCTAATAAATAAGGTTCAAATAAAACATAATAAATAAATGAAGCTTAGTTATTAGGTGATGGAATCCAAGACGCGCGTTTCGTTCCATATGGGAATCGTCAGCTGTATGTACCTGCATCCCAGAGTTGATGTTTACTCTAGGGCTCGAAACCAGTACCTTTAGCTTTAAATACCATCGCGTTATCCACTCAGCTATTGAGTCCTGATAGCCACTTGCTTGTGCAATTGGGTAAAGTTTAAGTTTACTTAGTATTACTTGTTTGAATCTTCCCATTGATGTTTAGGAATGCAACTGGTCAGTCTGTTATTGACATATGTGCATTCTGTGCGTATTGCCTCGATATAGCCTTATTTCACAAGCATTGTGTGCACATATGCCAATAAGAAACTGATCAGTTTCAGTCCTAAACATCAATGAGAAGATTCAAACAAGTAATACTAAGTGAACTTATACTTATGAACTATATAAAAATGATTATTTATATAATCTATCTACATCGGTCAATTTGTGTTGAAACATATATGTACAAGGAAGGAGTCATCCAACTATAAAGCCGAGGGTTACGACACATGAACCTAGATGGATTTAGAATCAGTTAATGTAAAAAGTGGAAAGTAATGTTCATCAACAGCAAAACAGACAATTGAAACAGGTTATAAAAACTGAACTTGATGCAGCTTTTAAAAGTTTGTATAAGAATTGTCAAGGTTAAAGTTTGAGGTTTATGAAAGTTTCGACTATTCGGAAGCTTAGACCTCGTTTGTGTTATAACCTTGAGTCAACACTGGTTACCTTTTAACCATTTTACAGTCTACACTAATATGACAAAGACCCGTTATTTTCAGATTCATCTTTTTCAGTCTTATTTCAATTATTTGACTAGCCTTTATTAGTTTACTACTAAAATCACTTGACAAGTTAAAATGTGACCAGTTTATTTGGAATGTATAGCGCAAATACACCACACATTTCAAATCAATAACGGCGCCCAAACTAAAACATGGCATCACTTCATGAAGTCACTAACAATTGGACTAACTCATATCAATAAGTGTAGACTACCTGGTTCGGGTCAACATGGTTATCCTACCCAATGCTTAGAGACTTACAATGATATGACTCAAAATTGTTTGCAATAGCATAGGTGCATTCATTCTTTTTCTTCCAACAAATTCTAAGACGCTAAAATTATCATAACTATTTCCTTCCCTTCATTTAGCTCATTTATATTTTCTTTTCGGATGGTATCTTCAAATACTAGTAGTTCCTGTTACCTCGCATACTGTTACTACCTCCAGTATTCTGGAATTTGACCTGCCAACTTCGTTTTTCTGTGCTTACGGGGTGTGGAAACTCTAACCGATGTACGTGAGTACAGGTTGTTCTATGTTGTCTCACTGACTGACTTTTCGTATCAAAATATCATTTACCTATTATCTTCATCCTTTGCTTAACAATATACAAGTAGCAGTTTATTTTAGTAAGTACCACTTTCTCGTAGTTATAACACTAGGGCGAATTCATTACCATTCCTACACCCTAATCAGTTCAGTACAGCAAGAACAACAACAGTAACAGAATAATGTTAGTTCAGCCGCCTACAACCTAGAAACAATAATACAGATTAATAAAGACAAGTACACATACTTTAATCCTCTTTCATAGAAATCTTGATTAAAGTTGTAGCTAGCTTGGATATCGAAAAACAGCAACATGAAAATTCTACAGTGATATGCATGGAGACATGGAGAAAACAAAATCAGAATACGTTGAATTTATCGTATTCTGCAAGTGCATTTTGTCATTCTTCGTTTGTTAAAACGAAAATTATACTGTATTTTGTAAAGGGAAAGATATGTAGTTCTGAACTATTCAGACAAATTTTAATATTGAAAGTAAAAATGTCAACAATTATTTATTTATTTATGTGAACACATAAATATTGGTACAAGGAAACACCAGATACATATGCGCCACACAAAAAATTGTCATTTCATTTAATTGTAGGAGGGCTATGATACTGCCCAGGTGCCCAGACTGAAGCAGGTGGTTTTCTTAAGAGGCCACAACCCGAGCCTTTGACCTAAAGGTCTAGCCGTCAAGACAGTGGACCATCGTGAAGAGATGCAGTCTCATGGTAGCCGGAGACCAAAAATGGGTTCATACGCCATTCGTTCCTTCCGGATACTCGAGCCCACGTGCACCATTGGTTTGGAATCAGGGTTTTCCAACTCCTTTAGGTGGAGTTTCCGTGTCCACCGACCCGGTTAAAGCGCCGGACATTCGATTTTCATCCTCTCAATTTCGTAAACAACACCCCTGCCACGAGAAGGCAGTAAGTAGGACTTCCCTGGTAGAGGCTATAAACGCGTGGCCATGTGAGAGCATTTCGTTAGGGCGAACGGACTCTCCCCACTCTCGACCGTACCAGGGCATTTGGGGCCATCTTGATAGTTTATAACTGTATTAAGAGTTATTTGAAGCATAATTCAAGTTTTGTTGAAAATTATAAGCGTTGCGTTGATCTATTATGCCAACACATGCGTCCCTATGACGAAGATATTTTGATTAGTGTACTTATAACCAGGTCATAATAAATACAATGCTATTTAAATCATGAAACAGTTGTTCTGAGCTTGGAAATAAATAGTACACAATATATTACCATGTCAGTATACTGCTAAGAAACAAAATAAATTTATCAGAAAGGGGTTTTGTGGAGATTTAGTATTTTCATTGTTGAAAGCGTGAGTCAATTGAAGCTAGCCGTCCAGTGCTTCAAGATCTTCCACGGTGATCTAGCTTCAATCGACTCACGCTTTCAACAATGAAAATAAATTTATATTTATAAACAAGAAAGGTTACATATACACAATCTTATACCTTGTTTTATCATCTGTACGGTCTTTTTCGGCTACATAATCATCACAGTTAGGAAGAGCTTTCTTTGGTGAAGGCGATGATACATTTTTATTACTACTATTATTATTATCATCATCATCATCTTCACAATGCTTTACAATAACATCGGTCTTTTCCCTTGTATGTTCTTTTATGGTTTGTTTTTTAATGGTAGATGAAAAATTAGATTCTGCTTCTAAACGATCTTCTTTACTTGTAGTGTGACGGTGAAATTCCTCCTAATTGGAACAGGTAATAATTTAAAAGTTGATTATTCTGTATTTATTTAAATACTAATGGTAAAAATGACATATATATACGACTTTTCTATTTATATGGTTATTATAAATGTCAACATCACACACAAGGTCACATTCTCCTATCTATAAACCAACTGATCGCTAGACAAAATGCTACTTATTATTCTTACACAATAATGGAAAGTAATTGAATTCTTTGATGCAATTTACAAAGTAGGTAAGTATTTTGACTATGTGTATTAGTAGAACATGGTCTTTCAAAAATACAGGAACACAATGACGATGTACTCACTAAACCACAGGACACTAAGGAAAATAGTTTGTGTAAGATGAAACTCTCGGTTATGAAATAAAACACTGTTGTGATGAATGCGAAAATCTGGTCACTGAAACAGGAAACAGTAATTCGGACAACACCAAGGATAAGGATGAAGACAATAGATAAAGATTTATTTTTGATATCCCCGACCGTAGCTGCTACCTTGACGTAATGGTCAGGTTTGCCCATCGTGATGACTCAACCGAGTTATACTGACTGGAACATATGTTCCCTTAGATCCTAACATACCAAGCAGATTGGTTGGAGAACTGTAAAACTAAAAGCAGCAAGTTAAGGCCCGAGGGTAAAGTCGTACTGACGCATGGCTACGGGTGTGATGGGAGTAAGTTCTTTTCCTCAGACAACTAACACCTGCAGCGATGCTGCACTATAACAACGGAAAGGAAGAGCTAGAAATGGTCGACCGTAAAAACGTCATTCCCTACCTTATCCCACAGATTTCTGTCTCCGGCGATAAGGAATTTGAAGTGCGGAGCCAACACGTAAACTTCCCATAGAAAGGCCGTGGGCGACCGGTCTCAAGCAATTGTCCCGTGGGCTCTGAGGTCACGCTCTTAAGTTGCTACGACTACCGCTAATTTAGCTTCCCTCTCTTGCCCCTCAAGAGTATTCTTTCACGGTGTGAGCAACTGGGAGATGACATTCGCCCTCAAAGCTTGTAGGATTCAATTTGTCCTACAGATATACTATTAAAACTGTAAACGCGATACTGGCGATCCCAGAGTCTATGTGAAAGCTATAGTCAGAACAAGGACAACTTAGCTTTAAACTTTATCTGTTTCTAAACATAAAAACAATTAGATTAGTACAATGATTAAAGAATTACAGTCATTAAGTGAAACGCACAAACATACCGACCAGTATTGCGTGTCTTATCGAAATGAACAAAATTTATGAGTCACATTAATATAATAGGAAAATAATGTCTTTCAATTGGTAGGTCACATACAACAGGGATAGTTTACAGATACATCAGAGCAAGCTAACGTGGTGGGAGCTTAGGCAACGATCTGATTGGTTAGTTATAGACATAACTAACAAACCTTTTTCAGCACCCGAGGTCATCTTGTTGACGTTCGAAGTGTTAATGATTCGAGTTCACAAAATATTATACCTGGTCTCCGGAAACCATGCTCTAAACTACATGTTGGAGATTTTAATGTTGTAACCTTGTATCTTAGGGCGACAATACCCAAGCTTTTCACCTACGGATCTAGACCATAAGGCAGTGGAGCAACGTAAGGAGATGCAGTAACATGGTAGCCGCTGGCCGACAGTAGGTTTATACGCCATTTGTTTTTTCGGGATCCTGAAGCTAATGTGCACCATTGGTGTGGAATTAGGGTTTTCCAACTGCGCTAGGTAGATCCTCCAATAGACAGTCGATTTTGTGCTGTTCAAGTTAAACGGGGCAGTAAGAACTAGAAAATATAACATTACGGGAACATGGATAGGAAATAATGAGAGTTGGCCGATTTAGGAATAAAACCAAGAAAGACTTATTTCTATTAAAATCCATCACACTAGCTTTTATTTTAAATTATATCTGATGTCCAAAGCCATTGAGTTCCACGATCTGAACTATATCATAATGATGGACTGGAGCGCCAGCCCTCGAAATGCTCTATCCAGTGATCAAGACAACTTTAGAGGTTACTAGTCAGTGTGCCGCAAATCTCACAGATTATTCCACTAACACAATGATTTGGATGAACTAAAACATCTTTCAGTCAATACCATATGCGGCTACTGTTTCCAACTTGTTAGACTATTTCAGCCAACAGGTTTTTCAGACACTGCACAAGCTTTGTAAAATCTCATGACGTGTCTACACGTGTCGTAAAACTCATAATTCGCCGGAATAAACTTGTGTATCTCACTGATGAAACGCAGGGATTGTAAACTGTATGCTTTGCGAAGTTATGATATCTACACTCGAGAAGTTGGTGGATAGTCTAGGACCTAATTTAGTTTGATGGTTGGTTGAAACAGAAGCTGAAGCCGATCCATTTGTTTAATACGAGACGTTCGCTAGCCATCAAAATGTAAGATTAATTACGTTACTCCTATACATCAATAAAAATCTAGGTGCTTGTCAGTTGGTTTTCTAGATAATCAGAATGACTACAACTGAACGGACTATGCATATCTCTAGTGAAGGATCTTCGCATGGCGAGATATCAAAAAAGCACTCAGTGAATAACTAGTAGATCTAACTCATCAAAATCAGAACAGTGGCATTAAACCGCCCGGTGTTTTTTGTCTAGTAATTATAAACTGCACATGCTGTTCCTTGCTATCAAAACCTTGTTTCCCTAGGACTTCGTACATGCTTCTCAGTAAAAATTAGACAAGTATACGGAGTTTAGTGTAGTATGAGTCAAGAAAAAGCGAAAGCTAGTAATTATGAAAACCAATAAAAAAGGGATCTTACTGAGTACCCCGCACATGTTTTATCCTGATTATCAAACATATACCGGTAAAAACCTCCTAAGCCATCTTGTTTGCAAACATCCATAACTTGCTCCCTTCCCTCTTCTTCCTTGCGTTTTTCTACGAGTGCGTGAAGTTCAGTTAGTTTACTTTTGTACGCTGAGGTAACGAATGACTCCTTGTTGTTATACAGATCAGAGTCTGCTTCAATTTGCTTCTGAGCCTTCCGCTCAACACATAGCTCCCTCTCAAGTTTGCGCTCATTGGATGCCTTTATAAGTCTGCCCACATACTTGGACTGAAAAAATTAAGATTAAAAAGACCCACTGTTTTGACGGTTCTTCGCGAAATATCCTCTGCTTTTTTATCGTGTATATTGTCCAAATATTCATCGTATTGGAATACTGAGGGATCTTCCTCGAAGGCTTTTTCTAACTCTGTTTTGACCTAAATACTTTCACAAATATGTGGTGCATTTATACCTTTCGATTAATTTTATTCTGAGCTATGCAAGTCGTTTGAGAATAATCGGCTGGTTTCTGAAACGCTCTCATCAATAAACAATGAAACTCTTACAAATTCTTTGTAGTCCTCCTCTTTGTCGGATTCCTCATTAAAGATATTATTTGTTGAAACCTTCAGTTCATTTTTGGGCTTTCTAGTTGGGAAACTAAGGCCGTACACCTTACCGCGTCCTTGATTCATAATAGGCAGTAACCTACAAGCATATGATTTAATATCCAATATATTTTGATGAATTACCTTTAATCAAATGCTTTCTTAGCACTCCGTAACTGTTGTTTCCAATAAATCTAATACCTTCACAAGCTTGAATCAACTGAATGATTTCTTTTCACTCGCTTTTTTTTCGTTTCGACACGGTTCTAGGGATCTGGTAACAGTTTCAGTTTAGAAAGGACAGGGGGCTAGATGGCCTATGTTAGTCCAGGCAATCATGGTCTCGCATTTGATTCAGCTTTCTTTTAAAAGTGTCGACAGATGTAGCTCTAACCACGTGTTGAGGTAATGAATTCCACTTGTTGATGATTAGATGGGAAAGTCGATAATCAGCTGATATGTAATTTGCTCTTAGCTTGTGAATTTTTCAGTGTCCTCGTAAATTCTCTGTTTCGGAAGACAAGAGAAATGAGTGCATATCAAATGCAAATTTATCGTTATGTAGTTTTAAAACCGTAATCACTCCAGCTCTAGTTTTTCGATTTGACAATGTGAATAGGTTAAATTTAGCCAGTCGAGCATCATACGGGAGCTTCGCTATTCTGAGAATCAGCTTAGTTACTGTTCTCTGAGCCTTTTCCGAAACCTTACTGCCTTTCTTTAGCAGGGACTAGCCGCTTGTACGCAATACTCAAGTTTAGGACGCACGAACACTGTATACAAAGTCAAAGATGTTTCATTGTCGACATGACTAAAGGCCATGCGTATTGACCGCAAAGTTCCAAAATCTTTGGCTGCTATTTCACGGCAATGTGCAGTAGTATTTAAGTCTTCGATAACGATGACTCCTAAGTCATTGTGTGTCTGGACAACAGGTAGCTCAATGTTATTCATCATTTATGTATCTGTTCCCTGATGATCAATATGCATCACAATGCACTTGAAAATAGTTATCGGCAACTGTCAGGATTAAGATCATTCAGGAAATTCCGCCAGGTCATTTTGAAGTTCTAAGCTATCACCCTTATTTCTTACCGTTCTCTATATATTGACGTCGTCAGCATATAGCAAGACCGATGATGACAGGAGACCATGGTCATTTTCATATAATAGGAATTATTATTATTATTAATAATAACACCAGCCCAAAAATTGTACCCTGAGGCAATCCAACAAGAACAGATTTCTAGCTAGACAACTTAGAGTTCTCCCGTACTCTTTTTTGACCCCCAACTAGGAAGTCTTTAATCGACATCGATAGATTGCCTTCAAACCCGACATTTCTTAACTTATATAACAGCCGGTTGTGAGAAAATTTGTCAAAAGCTTTTCTGAAGTCAATGTGGGCTAAGTCTATAGGTTACTTTTGGTCTTTAAGAGCGCACTAGCTCACATGAGCCGCCAATAAGTTATTGAGACAGGAATAACCTGTTTTAAAGCCATGCTGCTTTTCCGAAAAGATCCGGTTGTTATCGAGATATTCCAACAGCTCCTTCCGAGTATTTGCCTACGTCAAGCTTATTTAGAAAACGTAAGAAATCAAGTTATTTGATATCTAGTGTGTGGTGGGATTTGTATGAACTGACGGGAAAGAGTGTCTCTATAGTATTATACATTGCTAAAGTAGTTTGAAACTACTTGAGCTTTACCAAAGTCGTCCTCCACTAATGAGGAAGCATCACTGTCTCCCTACAGTGCTGTAATATTACCTCTTGCTTTTGTCCTTTGGTTTATATGCCAATACAAGCCTTTATGGCATTCTATAGATTCCTTGAAAAAATTTTCTTTGTTCAACCTTATACACTTACCGGGAGTCAATGCACAAATATTTCAAGCTTCTCGATACCATCAGTTCCCAGTAATCTGAATCAATCTCACTTTACATCTCCTCTTGCAAAGAAAAGTGTGAACCTCCGTAATGGAACATGGAAGAGAGTTTCTCAGACCCCTTGGTTTAGTTCAAAGGATGTGAGGTGCAGTAACTTCTAGGTATAAATTTTGAAATACATCACAAGCTTTTTCAACTGGGGACTGTGGCTCTAGTGTCCAATCTAATGACGATGCTGTGTGTGTAATATCTCGTATATTGGCTTTCCAGACGTTAGGTTTGGGTTGAGCTGGTGTGTGTTCGTTTTTGATAACTATATGGAAGTCAAAGGTAAGAACCGTATGATCACTTTCACCTAGGTGATCCAAATATTCAATATTCGTGATGCCATGCTCATGATGGGTCAGTATAAGATCTAATAAGTATGAGACAGAGTCTGGGTCGTACATAGTTGCTTTTTTCACATGTACTAGGGTACATGTGATAACTACATCAACTAGTTCCTGCTCGAAGGAAATTTCTGGCAATTCAGTTGTCAAATATTTTCCAATCCACCGTAGGTGCATTAACGTCTCCTAGAATAAGACACCGAACACTTTGTGACCAAGTATTGAGACTGATTAGCAAGACTTCGTTTACCTCGAAGCTTGGACTGCCGTAGACCAAACCAATAAGCAACTCTTGATCCTTTCATTTCAAGTGGCAATCAACTAATTCACACGCCCCCCCCTCATGGGATACACTGTCCATAATGGCAAATGTGATAGTGTTCCTAATTAATAGAGGTACTCCCGCTCCATAGCGCTTCTGGGTTCTGTCGGCTCCTACCAACATGAAACCCTCTAAACCAAGTTCCATACTATCTATAGGCTACGTCAGCTGACTTTCTGTGACTGCGATTATATCTGGCTTGGTGGAGTTAATCTTTCGAGCAAGCTTCGGACATTGGTGTGACAGATCCAAATCCTATTTAAATAGCTTCGTGCTGCACCCATAGTGACTTCGGCATCATTCTCTGTCGAAGCCTCACAACCCAAAAATTTACAATTTTTACGCTCTTTTCGTCAGCGTCTAACGTAAGTTTTAGTTCTTTTTCGGCTTTTACATGGTCTGTGAGCGGCAAGACTTTACGGACCGAAATTCCTGGCTACTTTGGTCTATGTCGATTCTGTAATATCAAGTCCCGTTTATTAGGAGACTTAAATACTACAGTTCCGTTTCAAATCCATTTGACTACCTAATCTATACACTTTTAGCAAGATGACACCGGAGATATCCCAAGGCATAAGCTGATTAAATAGCTGTCTTATCAACATAATATCATGCTCAAAACGAGTTTGGGGTTCTGAGCCTTCACTCCCCTTGATTCTATAAAAGATAGCAAACCAGTCACTGTGATCAGCCATTAATTTCTCGGCTACTTCTTGGGAGTTGGATTTTCCTCAAAAGCGTTATGTCGTTTCTTGTCCGCGACTTGTACCCATTCATCGAATTTCGTTGGAGTAGCAACTACGAACGCGTCAAACACATTGTGGGATCCTGGAAGGTTATCAGCGACTTGAGCAGCCTATTAGTTTCTCCCGCTAGAAACAGAATTGGCCAAGCGATTGGAATTTTCAGGCGTTTTCTGCTGTTCAACGGTGGAAGTCTGGCCACCTGACTGCACAAATTCTAGTCAGTTTGGCAGTTATCTTCGGACTTGTATTTTTTGTAATTCGAACAAATGCGTTTCTCACAGGACATCTCATTTTCTAAAACTAACACTCATTGAACTGCCAGGCGAGATGTTAGTTGATTGCAATGTGAAAATAATAAAGTGGTAATTCAAATGCTGAGATGATTGTTTCAAGAATAAATTAATTTGCCTACTTGATAATTTATGAGAATGTGGAATATAAGTAATTAGCATGTAACAAGCATTATGTGCCTTGCTTAACACAGTCTCTTCTATACAGGAGTGTGCTTAGCTTGAGGCACGTTGCATATGGTAGATTTCCGAGTCACAATTATCACTATACCTCAGTGGTCAACCACTGTTAGCTTACACCACGCTTGTGACCATACAACCTGCTGAGGGTGCCTCCTCGTGATCGTGTGGACTGTCCTAGGATGATGACTGTAGGAATTGATCGCGTCCCCCTCCCCGAAACAACTCGTTTATGACCACGTTAAGTGTTAACGATGCCATTGCCAATACTTTTTGTTGGTTCTTGGACGGGAACATCGTCGACTATTAACCGATCACTTGATGGTAGATAGTCTAACTTTGAATATTCACTGCTCTTACGTCATCTCGTGACGTCACCTACATGCTTAGTCTGGTCTAAATGTTTGATAGTCCGACGATTTGTTTGTGAAACTGTCTTAAGGGTGTCGTGTCCCTAGTACTGGAATTTAGGGGTCGCCATAGTAAGGGCCAATAAGGTCCTCTTCCCAAATCCCCGTGGTTGTTGATACCCTCAACCATGCCGAAACGACATAAAGCGAGTGAAGGTAAATTAATTGGTTTATATGAGCTGGTCGCAAATATATTGGTTAGTAGTCCTATTTAATTGTTGTTGTCATAACAACTGCTGGTGGTTTGTCAACTTTTGTAATGGTAGAACGAGTATTTTATTATTAACCACTAATATGTAATGACCTTTCAGGGCCTGTTAAGTCTTTTAAGGAGATTGAAATCCAAACCAGAACAAGAAATAAGGATTCTTCTTCTTGGTCTAGATAATGCAGGAAAGACAACTTTGCTTAAACATTTAGCATCTGAAGATATAACTCAAACTACTCCCACTCAAGTATTGGCAAATTTGTTATATATTTTGTCAGGGATTTAATATCAAAAGCGTTCAGTCCCAAGGGTTCAAACTAAATGTTTGGGATATTGGAGGACAGCGAAAGATTCGCCCATATTGGAAAAACTACTTTGAAAATACAGATATATTGGTAATTGTTTCTCCTCTCCTTTATAGAATTTTAGATTTATGTGATCGATAGTTCAGATAAAAAGCGCTTTGAGGAAACCGGAGAAGTGCGTTCTGCTTTTTTTTTAAAACATCTAAATGTAAAAAGGACTACTTTGTTTACATTGATGAACTTTGTCATTCCCTATTATTTGTTTATTTTTTATAGCTTTTCTTGTCTATTTACTAATGTTTAATGGCCAGTTATTGGTGGTAGTATTAGACCAGTTAGTCCATAATCAATAACAACTCAAAATTTCCAGAGTAACTGGTAGAAAACCGTAGTTTTACAAGGATAAGTGGTTTTAGATGTTTTTATAGTCACTGATCTTGCCTTCGCACCATCTCATAATATACTGAAACTCCTTATTATTAACTAACCCTACGCCTTTTTATAAAGTATTATTCCAGTTAATTCGCTCATTTTTGTCACATTTTTTTCTCCCCCTTTATTTAGGGAAATTTTTGCACTCGTCGCCTTCTTAATTTACCTCAATTTGATCTTACAACCTTTATTCCAACCAGAAGAATGGCCTGTAACATGGCGGATGTTGATTGTAACCCTGAGATAAATTCATTTATTTAGATTCAAAATATAATAAAATATATCGAATATGAAAATCTGATCAGGGACAATATTTATTGGAAAAACAGTTCAGTTAAGATACTCAAGATAGACTTCTTTCAGATAATGAGCTTTCATCTAAATTTTACGAAGCATGTGATTAGAAATCAGGACTAGTTTCTATTCTAGACCATATCTGACTTTTCCCATCGTCTTGAAAACTGAATATGCCAGTAAATAATTTCCTAATATGAGTGGTTCAATAGGTTTTAAGTGGCGCTTCCAACCTAGCTAGTTTTGATGGATCTAATTGGTTTAAGATACTTACTTATGTATCCATACCACTTCATGATACGTTATCACGTTCATACTTTTTCAGCTTTAGGAGAAGCTGAATGTACTATACTACCTATTGATATCGCCTACTTAGTAAAAATATGTGTGATTAATAGATACTCTCTAAGTGCAGTTTTGAAAGAAATTTAATGTTGATGTTGTTTAATTGTTCATCATACGGCTTTTTATTGAATCCAAGTGTTCTGAATGAATAAAACTGATGATCACTTACAAACGACAGTCGTAACTAGTCTTCGGAAACTATAGGCTGGTTTTAACTAGAATGACGGAAAAATGTGATTTTCCATTATGTTTTAGATAGATATTAAAATTTTATCGGCATAAAATGAAAGCAAACTGATGCACCTTATTCAAACATTTGATACACAAAAATCCGAAACCTGATGTACAAAGTGCAGATTTATTTACTCGACTTAACTCCATGTCTTTTATAGTGGTGTGTAGTGATACCCATAGGTTACAAAAACTGAAGTACATAGAAAGTAGTAAAAACTTTCACTTTACTGGCTGAAAACCAAATGCTTTAGTGATTTAAGTGTATCAGGAAAGGGGATGGATTTTTAATGCTCATTAACATTCATGCAACTATCCAAACAAGATAATTCAGTTCGTTTTGGTGATGGACAACTGAATCTTTATCTATTCACAATATCTCTGATGGTTAAATAGAAGTATTTTGCAAAGTTGTGACTCACATTGTTTGCATTAACTGTAGACTGTAATCACGAATAGCTTATCAAGGTGTTTTCAGTATATATTTTTCCGTTCATGGCTGACTTACTGATTAAATTTTCCTGACAAAAACATCCTACAAATCATTGGTGGCAAGGTTAAAACACTATCCGCTGTGTAAATGTATTAAAATTACTTAAATTTGACAGTATTAAATTGGTTTAAATAGATAAGTTTAAATAAAAATGCAATACCAAAAAACTCCAAGGAATTCAAGGTAGATGTGATATCGAGGAATCTTGTGGCTTTTGAGGTCTATGGGTGACACAAAATCTACTCATATCACCCATCTACCCTATCCTTTAAATATTTGTTCCTCATGTTTCTTGTTGACTATTTCTACCTGCTTCTCATACCAATAACGTTGCTAGTGTTTAAAGCTCCCCGAAACAGTTAGTTTATTCCAGTGATGGGACAGCATCTAAAACTAAAAATAGAACTGAACTCTTTAAAACATTTCATCTCTTTATTTTTTAAAAATTAATGAAAGGAAGTAGCATATGATAGTTTTTATCCATTTAAAGCACATAAATTTGCTCTCGCAACTTTAATTTCACTGACAAGTGAGTGACATTTTAACGCTGTTTGTGCCTGTTGTCAGATTAGTTCTTTACCTAAGTGACTCAGTCAGATGGTTTTATAAGTCTGAACTTGTTTCTATGACCTTCATGTACGGTGTCTTTCAAGTTAAATAACACTTTTTGAACTTAGACTTGAATCTCAAAATTTCCCCGGATAATGTAAAATATTTTACTATCTAAAACACCAAGTGATCCACGAGAATCCCCTGTTGTTTTTACTACCTCGAATGAGGTAAAATCTTTGCCTTAAACTGACCGATTATTTAGCTTAGTTCTATACTTCTTGTTTCATCGAATGTATATCCCTCATAGGAACTCTTGGAACTTTTATCAGAAGATAAATTAGCTGGAGTTCCTTTAATAGTATTTGCCAATAAACAGGACTTGCTCACCGCTGAACCGGCAAACAGAATATCAGATGGGCTTGGGTTACTAACTATTAGGGATAGACCATGGCAAATTCAGGGCTGTTCAGCTATAACTGGCAATGGTGTACAAGTAAGCTGAAATATCCGTTTTTAATTTTATGAAATTGATTTATTATTATTGTTTAACAGTATTACTGATGTTCGATATTCAGAATTTATGTATATATCGAAGTCGAGAGTAAAATCAACTCATTAAAATGGTTAATAATCAGGAAATATTATGAACAGATAGAATTTACCAATATGAATCACTGTATATCAGTTCATTGTTCTGAAGGTGAAGTTCTCTTTACAAGGCCTGAAGTTTCTGTGTTCGGTCACTAGTATAGTCGTGGACCTACACTGATAAGAAGTTCCATACCAGGACAAAACAACTACTCTAGTGTTTCTAGATTTTTAGTGGTTGTCTAACTATGATCAGCTCGTAAAATAAAACTGAAAATCTCTTGTACTAAAAAGTGGCCCTCAAATGCCCTGGTACGGCCGAGGGTTGGAAGAGTCAACTATCTCCCTCTAAATGCTCTCACATCATCACGAGTATACAACCATTAACAAGGAAGTCTTACTCACCGCATTCCAATGGCGGGGTGTTGTTTAGGAAAATGAGGGGACGAAAAGTAAATGTCCAGTGCTTTAACCGGGTTGGTGGAGTTGGAAAACCCTGATTCCACACTGGTTGTGCACATGGGCTCTAAAATCCTGAAGAAACAAATGGTGTATTAATTTACTGTTGATCAGTGACTACCATGGGACTGCATCTCCTGACGTTGCTCCACTGCCTTATGCATTAGACCTTTAGGTCAAAGGCTGATGTTTCATAATAGAATGATCAGTTTTCAAGAAAGAAATAACATCAGTTGTAGTGAAACAATATCTATTCAGTTATTTTACAGATTTTTTTAAGCTGTTTAAGATTTAAAGATCATATAGTAGTTATTCAGAAACAGAATATATTTAATTTAATAGTTGAATGTCTGAATCAATTAAAGCTAGACCACCATGGGAAACCCGAAAGCACTAGGCGGTCATTTCGTTCTAGTATAGGACTCCTCAGCAGTGCGCATCCACGATCCTAGACAAAAGGGAATGGAACCCAAGATCTGTCGGTCTCGTGGTGTCAATTGAAGTAAGATATTAATACTGCTGGATACTGGCTCAGTGGTCTAGAGGTTTGGTGTTCGTGTGCGAGACCGATAGGTCCTGGGTTCGGATCCCGCTAGCGGGATCACGAACGCGCACTGATGAGGAATCCCGAACTTGAACGAAACGGTTGTCCAGTCCTTTCAGGTTTTCCATGGTGGTCTAGTTTTAATTTACTCATTAGTTCAACTATTAATTTACTATAATATCCACAAAACCCCTTTTTGATAAGAATATATTTATGTTTGTTGGATAATATGAGTAGAAGTTAGTTAATAAATGACAAAAGATCGTTTATAAGTTTGAATTCTTCTGAGATAAATTATTAGGTACCATAAACTATCTATCTGTATAAATATCTATCATCTCATACGTCCATAAGAGTTGTTAAATGAACCTGATTGATTCATCATCATTTGATTGTTGATATCACTGAAACAGATAGAGAGAGACAAAGTGAGCACCATCAGTCAGTCAGTCAGTCAGCTACATCTTAAGACCAGGCACATTTATGCATTGGTCCAAGTTGCCATATCTCGTTAGCACAACAAGATGAACACTGGATTCACAGAATTAGTTAATTTAGTGGTGGTAATATATAATAGAAAGGTTATATATAAGAATATAGTATAGGAAGGAAGACAGACATGAAGCAAGTTTAATCTCACAGTTTAAGGGAAGATAAAGAGTGTATACACCTTACGCCATTGTGATCAATTCTAAGCTATGTCACATAGAGTCTCCAACCATTGGTTACGATAGTCACGCGAACCTCAACCAAGTAGTCTGTATCTACCAACATGAATCTATTCCATAAATTTTAAAAAAAATAATTCAATTTTTAGTTGATTTTATTTCGTCATGGCAACAGTATTATTTTATAGTTTATCATTTCTTTGTATTCAATAGGTAAAAAAAAGATTAATGAAGTTCATTCATTATGTGTTCTTATCAAGGTTATTTATCAAGGCGTTTTTTTTTCTTTTTTTTTCTTTTTTCTATGTTTTTCCATATTTAACTTAATTATTTTATGAAAAATTAGTCAGTTTTGCTCGCGCTTTTTTTAGTAAGACACCAATTTAGTCACCATGAGAAAACATTTTCATTAGAATATGTAAAAAAATGGGTGGAGTTAAACATTAGGACCGTTGGATACCAGCCGGCTCACTGATCTATCTGTTAATTGCTCTGGCGCGAGACTGATAGGTCATGGGTTTGAATCTCACGAAGCGAGGTCGTGGATGCGTACTGATGAGGAGTCTCATAATAGGACGAAACGGCCGTTTAGAGCTTCCAAGTTTTTCTATGGTGGTCTTGTTTTAATTGACTCATGATTTCAACTATGAAAATATAAAAAATTATCAGATTTTAAAATAAAATTGACTTTGATAATTTTTTTTACTAGAAAAAAAGAAATCGATATTGATTCCTTTTATTCGTGTTTAATCTTTTAATGTTGTCATGGTAACAATCATGCATTCTCATCATAGTATTATTCTTTCATTAACTGTAGACTATTGTGCATGCGAGTGCCATGTTAATATATATGAACGCCAATTAGAAAGCAGTGATTTATTGATCAGAGCTATGATACACGTAAACCGTATAAGCAGTATTGAGTACTTATCAGTCCTGCTTTCTGCCTAGTTCAGCCAGTTAAGTCCAGAACACCAATAACAGCCTCTGCAATATGAATAATTATTCACGAACATACTAGATTTAGTAAGCAAAGATGGCTAGTGGCTAGCAGTGGAATCCAGTTTGACGAACGTTTCGTCCTATTTGGGACTCGTCAGCTGGATGTACCTGTATCTCTGACTTGTTGATGTTCACTCTGGGACTCGAACCTAGTACCTTTCGCTTCAAACGCCATCGCGTTATCCACTCGGACGAAACGCACGTCCTGGATTCCATTGCTAGCCACTATTCATCTTTGCCTACCATACTTGTGAATTAAGGCTATATCGAGGCAATACGCACAGTAAGCATATATGTCAATTAGAGACTGACCAGTTGCAGTCCTAAACATCAATGGGAAGATTCAAACAAACAATACTAAATGAATTTTCAGGAAATGTTTAAAAATGACATTTTATTTCATGGATTTAAGGAATCTGATGAAATAGATGAATAAAAATTTTATTATGAGTAAAAAGGATGGTCAGTTTATCATCGAAGCTGACAGATCGATTTCACTTATCTAAAAAAAGGCTAATGATTATCCAGTGGAGTTTAACCAGGTATGTTGTAAAATAGTAACTCTTAAGACAATGGTGGATGTGTCACTCGATTTCGTGGATCGGTTGAAGTTAGACATTAACACCGCTGAATCCCGGCTCAGTGGTCTAGTGGTTAAGTGCTTGCGCGCGAAACTGATAGGTCTTGAGTTCGAATCTCACGAGGTGGGATCGTGAATGTGCACTGATGTGGAGTCTCATGAGATTACGAAACGCCCGTCCAATGATTTCGGGTTTTTCGTGGTGGTCTAGCTTCAACTGACTCATAATCTCAAGTATATTAAATTACTGAAATCTCCATAAATCCCCCTTCTGGTATTAATTTAATAGTTTCTCAGTTTCCTGTCACTCTAATTTTCGTAATTGAGTGTTCATTGAAGTTCTTCAAGAATAATATAATAACAATAATGGAGTTACTTCTTTCGTTTAATCGGCTATGAGGATTCGCTAAGTGTTCTACGGCCATTTCTCCAACATACAAATTTAATATATGGCTACTGATCTCTATGGAAATGAGTATCTCACACTGCATAAAGGTAGTGAAGATACCACCAGTATTGTAGTTTTACAACTATTAGCCAGTAACACCTTCTATATTGGAATCGTCCCCCACTTGGTTAAAATCAGAAGTCAGATGCGAAGAGGTTGGAAAGATATATTTGATCCGTTATCAATATATCAAGAAGCGTTTGCTCTAATCTCCCTAGTGAACCTAGGAGCTGTTTCCCACGCTGGGTCGTAACGTGATCTGGTGCGGATGCATGACCGAACACCTTCAGTTAAACAAGTCCACTTAAAACAATGTGGTCAGCATCCAATGTCGAACACTTAAATAGCTATTAATTTTGGGGAATTATTTACAGCTGAAGTAGTACGTCACCCTTTCATAAGTTTTAATGGAGTTCATTAACGAGTCAAGCGATTGGAATGCTACCAGATACAATGTAATCAAGAATATGTTATCTGTTTCTCTGACAACATGAAAGACGAAGTAGCTACTACTTTGTACCTTACTATCTTCCATAATTCGAAAAAATGGTGCTCTGTCGACATGTACTGATATTTTATATCACTTTTAAGAAATAAGGAACCAATTATGACGAATTCAGAACTAACCATGTAATTGGACAAAAAGGAATGAAAAAAAGTGGAAAATTGGATGAAGAAAGTACAAAAGTGACGAGACTATAACTTATGGACGAGTCAATCAGAAGCGTTTGACGGATTTCAAGGTCACGGCGCCGATTTCAGTACTTGATGCTCATATACGATCGGTTCACAGAGAACTTTAGATAAGGCTTAACAATTAAGCGGCTACAACAATCAAACTACTAAGAAGTTGCTGTATTTGTAATTACGAGTGGTAAATGACTCATAGACCTAGAGCAGACTATCGTGATGTTTTCCTTCGATGTAATATATGTTGAAGGAAGACATTTGCTAGAATAGGAACCTTTATTGCTCGATCCTGATTGAGACTAAGGCATATTATAACAATTGCCGCAAACCGCATGATAAACGCATCAATAACATCGGTTGTAATAATCGCAGATATTACTGAAGATTCGGCTGTTCAGTGGTATGAGTATTGTAGGGACATATTCATAATAAAAATGATAAACTTACACGACCGGAGTGCACACAAACAATAATGAAGCTATGTTGTGGAGGCTGAGAGGGTTTTTATGACTTTGTCATGGTTTCAGAGACCAACTAATATGGAGCAATATAGATGAGTTCCTCTACCTTATGCATTACGATTTTCGAACCTTTTTCTAATCTTAAAAAGTTTTTGGACCATATATTTAGTTTTGTATGATATATTTTTTACCATATGCTGACTGTCCACTTATTGGCTAACATTTCTCAAGGTCACTTATGATTCGTTCATAGGTCGTCCATAAATTATAATCTCGCCAAACATGCCATACTTTTAATGATTTTCATCAACCTCCATTTTAATTATTATTTATCTCTTTCCAAAATCTACATACTTATGAGTAGTATATATTTGTTTATATTAAATATTTATTTCATTTAGGAAGGAATAGAATGGGTAATCAAATCAGTAAATACTCGTTCAAAAATGAAATAGAATTCAATATCATTTTATAGATGTTATAACCTACCATGTGATTGTACAGTTAGTTAATGTATGAACTCAATTAGTTACCTGTTATTAACATAATGATCTAATGTCAATATTCAATGATGATTTAAGAAGAAGAAGAAGAAGAAGAAGAAGAAGAAGAAGAAGAGGAAGAAGAGTTTTTATGAAGGGATTAGATCTCTTTTCTCTATGGTTTCCCATTACATTAAAACATATGCATTTCAAAACTTTCCAGGTTTCCTTTCTTTTTATTTTCACATTTTCGTTGTTCTTGGAAAATACTCATGAAGATTGTGATGTATTTATGTAAGTATATAAATGTTTATATATTGAACATTGCGAATACATGTTTCTATTTTGATAGTTAGATTTTGTTTATTCATAGTTGAAAGCATGAGTCATTTGAAGCTAGACTACCACGGGAAAACCTGGAATTACTGCTTGATGGCCGTTTCGTCCTATTATGAGACTCTTCAACAACGCGTATCCACAATCCCGCACCCGTGAGAATCGAAACCAGGAGCTTCCAGCCCCGAGCCAGAGCACTTAACTGATAGACCACTGAGCCGGACGGTATCCAACGGTGTTAATGTCTAACATCAACCAATTCACGAAGTTGAGCAACCGTTCACCAATTGTTTTCAGTGATTTCCTATCTCACAACAGACATGGTTTGAACTCCACTGGTCACTGCTTCTCACTATAGCTCCTAGATATACTTCTCGAAGTCAGTCACTAGTGAGCATATGATTATATTAATTATTAGAAGGGGTTTTGTGAAGATTTAGCATTTTTCATAGTTGAAATCGTGGGTCAGCTTCAGTCATTAAATCTTACTGATGAAGTGAATATTCATTTCCTCTTCATTGTCATCAATGTCAACACGATTAGTTGTCCTTTGTTTTGATCAACGACTTAAAGATTAGAGATCAGATCAATCATTGTATGTCAATTCAAGATACTATAACAAATTATCATGAAGGGATAGTTTAAAAAGACAGAGTGGAAAGGTATGTGTATGAAGGAATAACAATATTCAAAATTGGGAGGATGAAAAAGGTTGAATGCGTTAGTGGTATTGTAAACTACTCTGAGTCATGCCACGTCATGTCACTAACCACCGATCTCTGTTATCTTGTTGACTCAAAACAAGTAGTCTGCTTCTAACTGTTATGACTGCGTCACCTATTGTTATATGTGCATATACATATCACAGTCACTTATTGCTTATACTTGTAAAAACGAGGAACCACCGCCATTCCCACGACGTGGCAATAAGAACCCAAAGACTGGTACAAGTGAAAATTTGGGCGAGACTATAAGTTATGGACAACCTTTGAACGAATCATAAGTGACCTTGAGAAGTGTTAAACAATCAGTAAACAGTCAGCATAGAGTAAAAATATATTATACAGAACCAAATAATTAAAGTGGATACACTTCTTTTATATGATCCAAAAACTTATCAAGGTTAGAAAAAGATTCAAAGGTTCCGAAATCGTGATGCATAAGGTAGAGGAACTCATCTATATTGCTCCATATTAGTTAGTCTCTGGAACCATGATAAAGTCATAAAAACCCTCTCAGCCTCCACAACATAGCTTCATTATTGTTTGTGTGCACTCCGGTCGTGTAAGTTTATCATTTTTATTATGAATATGTCCCTACAATACTCATACCACTGAACAGCCGAATCTTCAGTAATATCTGCGATTATTACAACCAATGTTATTGATGCGTTTATCATGCGGTTTGCGGCAATTGTTATAATATGCCTTAGTCTCAATCAGGATCGAGCAATAAAGGTTCATATTCCAACAAATGTCTTCCTCCAATATATATTACATCAAAGGAAAACATCACGGTAGTCTGCACAATGTCTACAAGTCATTTAATACCCGCAATTACAATTACAGGAACTTTCCAGTAGTATTATTTGTTATAGCTGGTTAATTGTCAGGTCTTCTTTAAAATTCTCTGCAAACCAATCGTACATAAGCCGTGACTTTGAAATCCGTCAAACGCTTCTGATTAGCTCGTCCATAAATTATAATCTCGCAAGATCATACTCACCAAATCAGTTTTTATAACAAACGTAAATGACTGACTTAGGAATATTTCCCATCGTTTTATTCCTTAATTTTATCATTTAAATTTTTTGTAAATAACATTGATTTTGGACACATATTCTTCATTGATTTACAACCACCTGACACCGTATTGACTTTATCTATTCAACATTTGAATAGAAATAGCCTACTAATATGATGTTAAGTCAGTCTAGAGCAATGATAAACAGTTTGTAAAAACGCATTTGTCAAGCGGTTTAACAGTCTAACTCTCGTAAACAAATAATTATATCGATGGATAACAGGATAGATTGCAGTCAAATTTGCCTTAGTTACTGTTATTACCATTATTATTACTATCATTACTACTATTACTGCTACAAATACTGCCTATATGACCACTACCATTATTACTGCTATTACCAATTTCATTATTTCTGTTACTTAAACTGTTATAACTATTATAATTATCACTATGATGGAAAGAAACCTATTTTCCATAATGGACAAGAAGAAGAAGAAGAAGAAGAAATAAACATAATGTCACATAGTAAGACACCACCATTGAATGCAAAGCAGTTACGTAATGGTGAGAAAAAATCAAATACTGATCATGCCAAAAACGTCCAAGCATAACAATAAACAAGCCTGAATGTCATGTTTGGTTTGCAGACTAAAAAAAAACAAACAAAAAAACGTTTTACTGTCAATAATAATAATTGTACAAATTATGAGAATCTATGAAAGAAATACCATGATTTCTACCCAATTCATGTACATATTGATATAAAGAATGGAAATAAACTTTTGAACCATTCACTTTTGTGTTTTTGATTGTTTTACCGGTAGATAGTTTATGGGATATCGTATATGTTACTATAGTGAGGAAGTCATACATTGACCTTAGAAGTGGTCAGTGTATGATATGGTATCGTGGTATGAAAGAAAGCTGCAATGGGCTGGCTTCTGTTGGTCCTTCACGACTCCTTGGTTAGGGTCTGAAAGATGGTGCAACGCAGTGGCTAGAGACGTTATCAGATATGGCTCAAAATAGAAGCCAGTGGCGAGCCTGATGTAACGTTCTTTTACTTTCTTCATACAGAGTGGTTATAATTTTTTTTAACTGAGAGAGTTCTTCTGGTTGTATATTTCAGTTCCTCTCATCATTACTCTTCTCTTTTTTTCCTTCTTTTATATATGCATCTTACCCTCTTTTCTCTTCCTATTCTCATTATTTTGTGTGGCGCATATGTATCCGGTGCCCTTTGTACCAATATGTATGTGTTAAATAAATAAATAGTGAGGAAGTAGGGAGTCCTGGCGATCAGATAAGTTTAACCAGGTCGATAACCTAATTGAATACAAAATTAGTTGATCCTAATAGAGTACTGTTAGCCATAAACAATAAGAAATGACACGGTTCCCACTTCTGCCGAGTGTACGTTCACCGTCAACGTCACCAAGGTTCGATGTACCTAACTCATCACAGATTGACAATGGAAAATCGAAAATGCACACACACACTTGTATAATCAACCATCATCTGGTTGCGGAAACAATCTCATTTCTCTTTATCAAGCTTCCGTTTACAACTCCTCACCATCTATCTGCATACAGTTCGATGATCAACATTTACATTCAGTCATTATAAGACACATGAGAATACAAGCATGGTTCATGAACTTGTATTTGGTCACTGGAATGCATTCGCTTGTCAATTGTGGAATGAATGTAATTTGCATGGAATTCCCATGAATAATAAATTCCATGAAGTCGACCATTTCAGGGTAGAGATTCTAAGAAATCTTGACCACTGAGCATTCACAACAGTATTTGACCTCGGATAAACAGAAGCAGCAATAGTAAAAGTAGTAGTAGTAGTAGTAATAGTAATAGCAGTAGGAGTAGGACCAGTAGTAGTAGGATTCGTAGTAATAGTATTGTTTGACATAGAAGTAGTACTAATAGGAGAATTAGTGATAGTATTATTATCAGGTATATTGACATTAGTCAATGAATTTCCACCATGAACGTTTCAGGACAGGTTTGTAAAAACAATATCCTCATCTTCATTACATCTGGTTGTGCTTAAACGACCAACACTACTCAGCTGTGAACTGTTACAAACAACTCGCTATCTTCATAGTGCTTCTATGTATGGCAGTAAACGTGGAAGATTAGATGATTTCCATCCAATTCTGTCGTGCAGTGTGATTTATCTTTTAGATGGTAGTTTCGGACATCAAGTCCCTTATAAGTAAGAAAAATGGTTATGATATTCCAAGCAACTAGTCCCTTTCATTGATTTGGTTAGTGTAATAAGAAGACGAAGATTATCAGAACTATGTGATATATTAGCGCAATACATTTCGAACGATCTGATCACTTATATACTCGTTAAGAAGATTTGTATATAAAGATGAAAGGTCAAATAGACTAGAAATAGAGGGTAAAGGGAGGACCAAGATAATGAAGAAAATAATATGAAAAACAACTTGAAGCCCCATCACGCTGGATAATATAAATCAATATTACCAGGGTAGGTGTAAGATGAGAACTACTTAAGTCTATGACTTTTAATTTTTGGCACGCTGGACAAAATGTAACCATTATGTGTTAATTTTTGTTGTTGATTATTTCAAACAGTTGAATAATTGAATGTGAATAGGGTGTCAATTTTATATTTCCAAAAAAACTATATCCCTATGATATATGTAAATTACAAATGTAATTTGTGAAGATGCTATACGTTTCAATAAGAAAATAACATGTATTCATCCAGTTTACCCGATTGATGTCAGGACTCAGTGGTCAAGTGGATAACGTGATGGCGTTTGATGCGAAAGGTACTAGGTTCGAGTCCCAGAGTGAACATCAACAAGTCAGAGATGCAGGTACATCTAACTGACGAGTCCCAAATAGGACGAAACGCGCCTTGTCCTGGATTCTACTGCTAGCCACTATCCATCTTTGCTTATCATGCTTGTGAATTAAGGCTATATCGAGGCAATATTCACAGTATTCACATATACCGATAAGAGACTGACCAGTTGCAATCCTAACACATCGATGGGAAGATTCAAAAAAACAATACTAAATGAATGTATCCGATTGATAGCTTGTAGGATCAGACGATACAACTCTAAAACTTGATGTATTCTCATAAATGTTGCTAAAATCAAACATATAAATAGGATAAGAATGACGATTTCAGACTGGTATACTATAGATTCATTGACACTGTATGCATTATCATCCAATATGATGAAGTATGAAATGTCTTCTATATTGACTGATAAATAAAGATTGTACACCATGAACTCAAACATCTGTATTTCAATGTGGAAGTACAATCATTCCGAAATTGGCAAACTATAAGTTGTGCAATATTTTAATAACGTTCATTGTAAAGGAACATTTAATTGCATATATGAAAGCGCAGTGATGAAGAGTCCCATACGGAGGATAATACGATCGTTCAGCGCTAAAAAACTTTTAATAGTCTTCTAATCTAGAACGGTTCATGACTTAAATGAAATTCAACAATCTCCGCCACCCTTCACTAAAGATTATTGCAATATGTATATAGTTAGTACTCATATATAAAGAATCAATTTAAGTTGGTCTAAACCTCTATAATACTCCTATGATTATTTAAGAAAAGCGAAGGAAGAAAGAACTCAGGACGATCAGTCATGCAAGTGAACGTTTAATCTCTGAACCACTGATTCAGTATCCAGCAGAGTTAATATCTAACTCCAATCAATTCATAACATTTCAAGATCATCTTATATTGTCTTCGGGTGTGCAGATGCAGTATACTCAAAACAGATTAACTTCACTGGTCATAACTTCTCACTAGAGCATTATAAATTTCTTTTTGAATCTAGTCACTAGTGAACACATGGTAATTGTCAGTATGGATGTTGTGTAGATTTCAAAGGTGAACTAACTTAGGTCGGTTCATGATTTCAATGAACTGTTGAGTTTATATTTAACTTATCAGAAACCTTGGTGTAAATAATTTAGTTAATTTTGATGAACTTTGGAATGATCAATTTTACGAGATTATAACTATTTGATTGTGATATATTGCCTATATATAAAAATTGACGGAAGTTGAGATCATAAGTCGATCTAAGCTAGACCACCATTGAAAAAGATAGAAGCAATGAATGGCCGTTTCGTCATAGTATGGGATTATTCAGCATAGCGCATCCATGATTCTACATGTGGGATTCGAACGTAGTACCTTCATTTTCTTGTGTGAACTCATAAAATCTTGATCATTGCAACGGCATCTAACAGTAGTAGTGTCAAACTTCAATCGATCCACGATCTTGCATAATCATTCATCCGTTGTCTGAGATAGATACATGTCTCTAACCGACACGGATTGAACTCTACTGATCATGGCTTCTTACTAAAACTCCACGAAATCCATCTTGAAGCTAGTCACAAGTGAGAACATGGTGATCGTTATTAGGATGAAAATTTGTGGAAATTGTAGTGATTTTAATAATTGAATTCATAAGTCGATCTATGCCATCCAGCGCTTCCAAGTTTTCTATAGTGATCTAGTTTATATCGACTCATGAATCCAACTATTAAAATCACTTCAATCTGTATAATCAACCATTCTAATGTATATATATGAAGAGATATTTGTACTTTACCACCATAAACCTTGAAAATAATACTAACATTTCAATCGACTCATGATTTCAGCTATGAAAACACTGAAATCTTCACAAAACCCCTTCTGATCTATAATCATATGCTCACTACTGACTGAATTCAAAGGATGTTTCCTTGAGTTCCAGTGGGAAGCAGTGACAAGTGGAGTTCAACCACATGTGTTGTAGAGATATCAACTCACTGAAGACAATTGGTGAACGGTTGCTAAAAAATCGTGGATTGGTTGAAGTTAGACATTAACACCGTTGGATGCAGGCCGGCTCAGTGGTTTATCAGTTAAGTGCTCTGGCGCGAGACTGGTAGGTCCTGGGTTGAGGAGTTCCATAATAGAACGAAATGGCTGTCCAGTGGTCTCAGGTTTTCCATAGTGGTCTAGCTTCAATTGACTCATGATTTCAACTATGAAAATAGTGAAATCTCCACAAAACCCTTTCTGATTTCTAAATAAGCCAGTGAATAACTAATATTTAAGTCACATACGTATTACCAGTCGTGTTAAACGCTTACAATCAAAACGTTTTAAAGAATCCATAATTACAGTAATGAAAATCTAAAAATCACTTAAACCAATGTATCTTCTACCCGAAGTGTGTTCTGATGATGTCGTTCAGAAGGACAATGAAAGATCCATGAGCAAACCATCCAGCTTAGAGAACAAAACTCCATCAGAATATATCATATATTTTGATAATATACATTATGATCAGAATAATTGAAATATTATACTCTAATATATCATATAATTCTAATAATCTTTGTCTTCTTACTACACTATCCAATATTATACATTTGTATTAGTATAGGGTTGTGAAGATTATTCAGTGTTTAATTGAGATCATGAATCGATTGATGTTAGACCATCATTGAATATCTGGAAGCACTGGACTGTCGTTTTGTCCTATTATGAGACTCCTCAGCAATGTGAATTCAAGATTCCGTAGATTGCAGATAAATTTGCTTAAAAATAAAGAATACAAATAATATAACAGGTATGATACTTCACTTGGTATTATCTACCTGTATCTTCCCATTAGTATTTAAGACTGCAATTGATCAGTCTCTTGCTGGCATATGTACATGCTGTGCCGACTGTCTTGATACAGCCTTAAATCATAAGCTTTTATAAGCGATCATGGATAGTGGCTAGCAGTGAAATCCAGCACAAGAGACACTTCATCACTTTTGGATACAAGTACATCCATCTGACGAATCCTAAATAGGACGAAATATCTCTTGTCCTGGATTCCACTGCTAACTACTATCCATCTTAGCTTATAACAAGTACGATATTTTATCCATTACCAACAACAACAGCAAAACCACTGTATATTCTCATAGTTGAAAGCATGAGTCAATTGAAGCTATACTACCATGGAAAACCTGGAATCACTCAACAGCCGTTTCATCCTATTATGGCACTCCTCAATAGTGCGCATACACAATCCCGTACTCGCGAGCTAGATTCGAACCAAATACCTACCAGTCTTTTACGCCAAAGCACTTAACTGATAGATCACTGAGCTAGCATCCAACATGTTTCCAGATTTTTCATAGTCGTCTAGCTTCAATTGACTCAAGCTTTCAACTATGAAAATATTAAAATCTCTACAAAACTCCATATTGATAATTGTATATTCATTAATCAATTTTCTTTAATTCAAATGCTTAATATTAACTTAACTATACATTAACTATCCATTCTTCTGACTGGTCAATTCTAATCTACAGGTAAATAGTATTATATATATTAAAATAGTATTTTGTCCAGTTATAATAAAGAGAGAACTTAAAGAGATGTGCTTTTTTCCATTTTGTAAGGTTAACGATTAGTTGTTAATTCATCTATACTCAATCTTAACTAAAATAAAGTTTAGGGGATAAAAAAAAAATTGTTTCCATAACTATCTATGGAGAGAAAGAGGGAGGATAAGAGAGAAAGAGGGAGGATGAGAGAGAAAGAGGGAGGATGAGAGAGAGAGAGAGAGGAGGGGGGAACAGTGAATAAGATAAGAATGAATTTCTCTATAAAATTTATTGATCTTTATTCTTATAGATAATAACATGTATATACATTAAGTATGTTCATTTCGATATGTCTGTCGAACTAAATATGAGTTAGTTATATTGAAATAAAAATATAGAATTTTAAATGAAATTCCAAGCAGTTTCGTCCTCGGTTGGCTTCATCAGTTGTGTTCAATTGAATTTGAGTTAGTTATGTTCAATATACATTGATTATTATTATCCTATTTGTTTATACTCAAAGCATTTCGTCTCCAATTGGCTTCATCAGTTGCATTTCATCGAATTGAGTTAGTTATGTTCAATATACATTGATTATTATTATCCTATTTGTTTATACTCAAAGCATTTCGTCTCCAATTGGCTTCATCAGTTGCATTTCATCGAATTGAGTTAGTTGTATTCAATATACATTGATTATTATTATCCTATTTGTTTATACTCAAAGCATTTCGTCTTCAGTTGGCTTCATCAGTTGCATTTCATCGAATTGAGTTAGTTGTATTCAATATACATTGATTATTATTATCCTATTTGTTTATACTCAAAGCATTTCGTCTTCAGTTGGCTTCATCAGTTGCATTTCATCGAATTGAGTTAGTTGTATTCAATATACATTGATTATTATTATCCTATTTGTTTATACTCAAAGCATTTCGTCTTCAGTTGGCTTCATCAGTTGCATTTCATCGAATTGAGTTAGTTGTATTCAATATACATTGATTATTATTATCTTATTTGTTTATACTCAAAGCATTTCGTCTCCAATTGGCTTCATCAGTTGTGTTCAATCGAATTTGAGTTAATTATATTCAATAGACACTTATTATTATTATCTTAATCAATAAAAATGTGGAATTTTAGATGAAATTTCAAAAAATTTCGTCTCCAATTGGCTTCATCAGTTATGTTTCATCGAATTGTTGTAGTTTCATAGAAAACATTCAAATAAAATGACAATTTCATACAATATGACTTATCTTTCTCTTACTCCTCCTTTCACCTAGCAACTATAATATGAATATAAATTTTAAAATTATATTTAAATTATATTTAATTATTTATTTAATCAATTTAATATTGATTAAATTTCAAATCAATTATGAAGTAAAATCAATAAATATTGATTATATTAATAATACTACTTATAATGTATTTAGTAATAATGAATCATTATTAGAATATCAAATTCAATTTTATTTAAATGATAATACACCATTGAATTATTTAGTTGGTAATATATTGACTACTAATTATACCCATCCCCATCCCCATCCCCATCTCCATCCCCACCACCCCCACCCCCACCAGCAACAACTACAACAACATGGAAACATCTTCATTCGATCAATGTTAATCCCAGATACATATTATCAATTAACTATAAAAGGTGATTTATATACACGTAATGTGATTGATCGTGATTTGATTTGTTCTAAATTTAATTGTTGTTTATTAAATTATTGTCAAATGAATATTGAAGGTTATTTATTTACAATTAATAATTTAAAACCAATTAAATTTCAAATACAAATTATTATTATTGATGAAAATGATAATATTCCCTTATTCCCTAAATCAATAATTAACACCGACAACAACCATGGCAACAACACTAACGAGCATAGCAACAACACCAACAAGCATAGCAACAACACCAACAATGAAAATTTGATTGATATTTATAATCAAAATTTAAATATTTATGAATTAATTATACCAGAATCTATTTCTATAGGTAAACGTTATTCATTACCTATGGCTATAGATAAAGATTCACCACGTTATGGTATTAAACAATATCGATTACAAATAATCAATCATTTAATTACTAACCAGATTAGTAATGATTCTTATACATCTAGTATAGAATCTCCATTCAGCTTAATTAATCCAGATCAATTAATTATAAATAAGATCAATACTAAATCTATTATAGGATCACCTCAATTACAAGTAGATTATATGTTAGATCGTGAAAAACAATCAATTTATTATTATAGAATTATAGTTGAAGATCATGGTGAACCACCATTATATTCTGATATGATATTACGTATTAAAGTAGCTGATATTAATGATAATGCACCAATATTCATAAATTTCACCACAGATATAACGACTGTTAACCATAATGACAACAACAATAATATCTTCATTATGGAAAATCTTACAATCGGTACAAAAATCTTTCAATTTTATACAAAAGATTTAGATGAAGGTGAAAATGGTAATATTACCTATTTAATTGATTGGAAATCAATATATGGTGGTTGGGATCAATCAAATATTCAATCAATAATATCGAAATATTCATTAAATCCATGGAATGGTGAATTGATAATATCTGATCTTTTAGATTATGAAAATGAATTAGAACGTAAACTAATTTTATTAATACAAGCTATAGATAATGGTATACCAAAATTAACATCAAGTATAAGTTATACAATTCATCTTATTGATATTAATGATAATGAACCAGAAATTGAAATGATCCCAATACATACTACTGAAATAAGTAATAGTAGTAGTAATAGTAGTAGTAGTATAGGGAATGTTAGTCAATTTCCTCTCCTTTATGAAAATGATCCAACACCACAATTATTAAGATTAATATCGATTAATGATAAAGATGATTGTTCAATAAATAAAATTCAATGTCAACTGATTAATGAAGAGAGAAATCTTGTAAGTTTTCGTTTAATCTCTTATTCAAATTATGCTTATGGTTTATTCAATCAACGTCAATTTGATTATGAAAAAGATACAAATAAGAAGGGTCAACTTCTAGTTGGTATCCAATGTGAAGATATAGCAGAACCGAAAAAATTCATTCAAAAATGGTTTGAATTACCATTAGGTGATTTAAATGATAATTGGCCACAATTTAATCAATTGAATTATGAATTTTCAATATATGAAAATGTACCAATTTATACAAAGATTGGATATATTGTTGCTATGGATTTAGATTCAGGTATCTATGGTCAATTAAGATATGAATTGATGTCAGATCATTTGGAATATTTGAAATTCATTCAAATCGATGCTACAAATGGAACGATATATACAACTGATCACTTAGATAGAGAATTAATCAATATCCTTCATCTCTTTGTTACTGTGAAAGATGGTGGAGTCATCGCTGATGATGATGATGATGATGACGATGGTGGTGGTGGTGGTGGTGGTGATGGTGGTTATGATAACAGGATCAATAACGAAACGGGAAACTTCAAATCAATCATTAAAACAAATACAACAAGCATAAAAATTCATTTACTTGATGTAAATGATAATCCACCTAAATATAATGGATCATTAGAATTTCATATTGAGGAGAATTTACCATTAGGTACAATAATATTAAATCAATTAAATTTTATTGATCCAGATTTAGGAGAGAATTCAACAATTAGTATAAAACTAATTGATCAATCATACTCTTATTTACCTAGTATATCCGATGAATTAAATAGTAACTATGGCAACGAAATGAATGATAATTCTATGATTTCAGTTGACAACCAATCAAGATTGGTTGTATCTGGGGTATTAGATCGTGAGAAACAAACTCAATTTATGATTAAATTAATTGCATATGATCATGGTAAATTAATAAGTCATACATGTACAACTACCCTGACATTTTACATTGATGATATCAATGATAATCAACCATATTTATTATATCCAAATAATGGTAGTCTATTATTTGGTATGTCTAAATCATCGAATTGGTTAAATAGCCATCAATCTACATCATCAATGATACCAGTTGATACATCATTTGGTACATTAATAGCTACAATACGTGGTAAAGATTTAGATGCTGGTGATAATGGTACCGTTATTTATTCTATAATACCAAGTAAAATCTATCATTTAAAACAAAAACTTAAACAACAACAGAATATTATAAATATGAAAGTGAATAATAGGAATTTGATTGATCCTTTTGAAAATACTAACAGTAGAAGTAATCTAAAGATAAACGAAAATAAACTGAAATATGAAATCGATAAGAATACAGACTTTTTGGAACTTTATGATGGATTTTTCTATTTTACTATTCATGAACAAACAGGTCAATTAACAACATCTTGGAATAATCATTTGAAAAAGAAAGAAATTGAATTATTCATTAAAAATCAATCTATTCATATAAATGAATTACAATTAAGGGATCAATATTTAAAATCAAAAGGTACACCTATACCTGGTTTATATATAATAACAATTCATTTACAAGATAAAGGTAAACCACAACAAACTACTGAAGTCATTTTTTATATTAATATTACTGAACCTATAAGGGATTCATTTGGTTTTTGGGCATTACATCATTCTCATATTAGTAATAAAATAATATTAATTTTAATTATTATATGTAGTTTAACATTGATAATCAGTTTAACCATTGTTATATTATGGATACGTTTTAAATCAGATAACCAAATACTGAGATCTATATCGAATACTTCATGTAGAGAATATAAACAAGGTATAATCATTACATCAGATACACAGAATTATAATAAACATTATAAATTTCATCATTCTATCAATTTATCACCTATGATTGATAGAAAATATGAGAAATCTTCAAATCGGACAATCTTTTTACCTTCAACTGTTTTAGAATCATATCCTAATGAATTACCTTCATCAGAAGGTTTATATAATGGAACATTATTAACAGAGACAATGATAACTACTAGTATAGATGAGAAATTACCTTCTTATATACAACCTTATTATAGTGATGAGAATACTAATCAATTATCTATAAATGTATATCCTTTTCATGTTAATGAACAAAACGAATCATGCCATCATACAACTGAATGGATGTCAACAACAACATCAAACCAATATCATACTAAACCATATCAACCAACTTCATTCATTATTAAACATTCTAATGAACCGATTCCAAATATTATACATATGGATTCATTTGCTGATAAAATAGATCTATATAATAAAGATGTACAATTATTAAATAATGGTATGATATCTGTTAATTTAACTAATATAACTAATCAAACAAATAGTATATATGGTAGTGATAGTGGAGTAGATAGTGGTACAGGTATTATTATTACTACTTCAGATACATATTTACCAATATCATCATGGTATTTAACGGATTTAAATAATAAAATTAATTATCATGATTCAATTTATGGTTCTTTTAAGTTACCATATGAAAAATCTGACATGAATAACATCAGTCATGGTAATATATAAGAATTACGTAATATAGTCAAGTGTTCACTTAGAAACATCAACTTATACATGTAATACAACTAATAAAACAAGAGAAGGATACATTTCTCAAGTGTACTGTCTAATCCATATTTATATATAATTGAAGAAATGAAGTATTTCATATTTACATTACAAAAATGGATCTCTATCCCGTGTGATCTATAGTGTGTTTATTATGATCCGGTAAGTTCATTATTAAATTAACCTATTATAATCTATATTGAATGACTGTTAAATTTAGTAGTTACAAATGGAATGTTGAAAACTGATCAATCCCAAAGATCCTTTGATAATCACTTGTAGAAAAATTGATTATAGATCAGAGAGAGGTTTTGTGGAGATTTCAGTATTTTCATAGTTGAAATCATGAGTCAATTGAAGCTAAACCATCATGGAAAACCTGAGAGCACTGGATGGCCATTTCGTCCTATTATGGGACTCCTCAACAGTTCGAATCCACGATCCTGACTCTCGAGATTTGAATCCAGTACCTACCAGTCTCGCGCCAGAGCACTTAACTGATAGACCACTGAGCCGGCCTGCATCCAATGGTGTTAATGTCTAACTTCAACCAATCCACGATCTTTTAGCAACCGTTCACCAATTGTCTTCAGTGAGTTGATATCTCTACAACACATGTGGTTGAACTCCACTGGTCACTGCTTCCCACTGGAACTCAAGGAAACATCCTTTGAATTCAGTCAGTAGTGAGCATATGATTATAGATCAGAAGGGGTTTTGTGAAGATTTCAGTGTTTTCATAGTTGAAATAATGAATCAGTTGAAGCTAGACCACAATAGGAAACCTGGAAACACCGGAGGGTCGTTCCTTTCTATTACGGGGCTCCTCAGCAGTGGGCATCCATGATCCCGCCTCATAAGATTCGAGATAGACCCATAATAGGACGAAACGGCCGTCCAGTGCATTCAGGTTTTCCATGGTGTTCTAGCTTCAATTGACTCATGATTTCAACTATGAAAAATTGATTGACAACGGAAATGGTTCTTTATGATGAAATCAAATACATTAGGAATGTAATATTTGTTATTCAATTAATAAAAATTAGGAAGCTGTGACCAATGGAGCAAAATCTCTGTCGGGTTTGAGACAGTTATTCACCTAAGACAATGGAGAAATGGTTACTCAAGATTATGAATCGATTGAAGTTAAACAATAATATCGTTGAATGCCGGCTCAGTGGCCTAGAGTTTAAGCGTTTGAGCATCAAACCGAAAGTCTTCGGTTCGATTCCTCTTGGTGCGAGATCATGTATGCATATTGCTGAGGAGTCCAATACTAGGACGAAGCTGCCATTCAGTGCTTTCAGGTTTTTCGAGGTGATGTAGCTTAGAATAATTCATGAATTCAAATAGTAAACCAATAAGAATTCATATGATATATCTATAATCAAAAAGGTCTATAAACGTCTGATAAGTGAATCACGTCAGTTGGACGAATACTGTATCAAACCTAGAAAATAGACTTTGCATAATACAGTATTGTAAGATATTATTCTGTGTTTGCACTGCCATGAGAATAGTTAGTTATTCGGAAATAATTACAACTTACTTACTTATTTAGTTAGTTACGCCTGTTACCCCTCGTAGAGACGCATAAGCTGTCCACCAGCATTCTTCATAGAACCCCTAATTAACTATATTCATTCTTTAATATCATTTTCAATTTATTTGAAACAGTCACCGAGATAAATAATAAATGCATTATGGACATGGTATACATTCATTCATTATTCAATGATCAGGCGATCCTAAATTTTTTATGAAAGTCAAATATTTTCAAAGTAGAAGTTGTAGTCATAGGTGTAGTAGAAGTAGAATTAGTAGGAGTAATAGTAGTGGTAGTAGAAGAAGAAGTGGAAGTAGGATAATTATTAGTCTAAGTATTAACAGAAGCAGTAGTCGTGCAATGTGCGCTACTTATGAAGACAAACATAAGTAGTATGTGGCAAGAATTGTAAATGGAATGTTTACCAACTGAAGCTTGAAATAAAAAGAAAAAGGAGAAAACCACAGAGTGCAGTCCTTAAAACAACAAGATTAGAAGAATGAAGGAATATGTGTTGGATGAATCAAGAAAGGTATGCGAATGATAAATTTAATGTAAAATTTCCATAATTCACAAAGCCATTTTACAATTTACCAAAACGTTTAATTAGTTCTATATAGTTGAAATCATTAGTCAATTGAAGCTAGATCACCATGAAAAACCTGTAAGCATTGGATGGCCGTTTGGTTCTATTGTGGGACTCCTCAGTAGTGCGCATCCACGATCCCATATGCTAGACTGTTAGGTCCTGGGTTCGAATCTCGCGAGGTGAGATCGTGGATGCACAGTACTAAGGAGTTCCACAATAGAACGAAATGGCCTTCCAGTGTTTCCAGGTTTTTCATGATGATCTAGCTTCAATTGACTCATAATGTCAACTATAAAATTACTAATATCTCCACAAAACCCCCCTTTCTGAGTTTGCGTTTTATATTGAGAAAAGAATTACATTATCGTTCTTGTTTTAACCTTATTGATTAAAGTTGATTTATGATTTTATGCAATTTTAAGATATCGGATAAGATAGATAGATAGGCAGGCAGGTAGATAGATAGATAGATAGATAGATAGGTAGGTAGGTAGGTAGGTAGGTAGGTAGGTAGGTAGGTAGGTAACTCATGTGGAAAACTTTACTGAAATTGAATTCTATAAACTTAATGGTTTAACTTTATATGTGTGATTTCATGATTGAATTAAATTGGGAATGTATGGGATTATTGAATTTGTTCAATACATTAGAAATCAAGTATCTAATATATGGGATACATGTACATAAATTCCATTTGTATATTGATTTATATAATACACCAATCGGTTACAAGATGTCTTTAAATTAGATGAACCAATTATTTTTTCTACAAATTATCTATTTCAGTCAAAGGTTTGATTGTTCTTGTTACTTAGGGGTATTGAAAACTAAATTGTGATCAGTTTTTGTTGAAATTGTTGCGACGTAAATCTGATACCTTTTTGATTGTACGTACTATCTAATCTCATATGTAATAAATGAGCAAGTGGCTATCAGGACTCAGTGGCCGAGTGGATAACGCGATGGCGTTTGAAGCGAGGGTACTGGGTTCGAGTCCCAGAGTGAACATCAACTCTGAGATGCAGGTACATCCAGCTGACGAGTCCCAAATAGGACGAAACGCGCGTCCTGGATTCCACTGCTAGCCACTATCCATCTCTGCTTACCATGCTTGTGAATTAAGGTATATCGAGGCAATACGCACAGTATGCACATATGCCAATTAGAGACTGACCAGTTGCAGTCCTAAACACATCGATGGGAAGATCCAAACAAACAATACTAAGTGAATTCAGACTTTATCTGCGTTGGTGAATAACGGAGTTAAATAACGATAATGCAATGAGAAGACGAAGTTTATCAGAATTATGTGATGGGATATTAGCGCAATACATTTCGAACAATGTGATCATACATATACTTGTTAAGACATTTTTTATATGAAAATCAAAAGGTCAACTAGACAGGTTAAGGTAAGAAAATAGATAAAGTACACAAAAACAATGTGATGACTACTCTGGATAATAAATCAGCATTACCAGGGTAGGTTAAGGGTAAGAACAAATTGTTTTTTTTTGAACACATAAAGGGGGTTTCAATTTCCGTATAGCCAAGGCTTCAATAAACCTTAGTATACGTCCTTGAAGGCTTTTGTACAACACTACAAATGCTGATTTGATGTCAACCTTATGACCAGTTTCAACTAAATGTTTCGCAATAGAGGAAGATGTTTGTCTATCCTGTGATCTTATTTGACTATTCGAATTCATTTGGTTCTGTAGCCATTTAGGTATGTGTTCCACTACCCTAAATTCCACCACCTTAAATAAGTCAAATACAAGAATGGATTTAGAATACATATAATTTCTACACTCATTGGTCTAGCCAGGACATCAAAGTGATGAAGCCAATAGATGAGAACGGAACGAAGCAAAAATGATGCGCATTAGATGTTGGCGGGGTAGCCAACACGGTATGAGCAAGAATTACTCAATATTTATAATCAGGCAAAAATGAATAACAGACATGTGATGGATAAGATACGAAGTGTGCATACACATACGCTCATATAAAAAAATAGTCAAGGTTAATAAGCGAATAATTAACAAGATCAAAATATGACTCATAATGGATAGGTGAATTAGCTTGGCCAGAAGCTAGAATAAAGTATATGGGCTTAACATATAAACTGATACTACAGAATATCTGTATCTTAAGCGGATTGCCTCAACGCAGCAATTACAATAATATTAAAAAGACTATAAGTAGAGGCTTAGAGCATCATATTTACAAGTGAAGAACATTTGAAACTCAAAACAATTATTAACCAACATCAAGATCAAAATTTTCATTACAAATTTCAAGACAGTTCTATTGTATGGAGCGGAAACCCGGAGAACTACGAAAGCTATCACACAGAAGTTACAGGTGTCTATTAACAGTTGTCTATGCAAGATACTTCGGATCCGTTGGTCAGACACTATCAACAGCAACCTACTATGGAAGACAACAAACCAGACTGCATCCAGTGGAGGAAGAAATCAGGAAGAAGCTCTGAGAGTATATAGGACACACATTGAGGAAAGCAGTCAACTGCAACACAAGACAAACCCTCACATGGAACCCTGAAGGCTGAAGGAGAAGAAGAAGACCAAAGAACATATTACATTGAGAAATGTCGACAGACATGAGAAGAATGAACAAGAATCGGATAGAACTAGAAAGGAAGGCCGATGACAGAGTGGGTTGAAGAATACTGGTTGGTGGCCTATGCTCCATTGGGAGTAACAGGCGTAAGTAAAAGTAAAATAAGTAGAGGCTTGTGGCTTCGAACATTATCGAGACAATATGAATAGACTAATCAATTACATGCCTAAACATTAATGAGAAGATTCAAACAATCAATAAAAATGCACTCAATCGATTGTGTTTTTAATTTCTTATTCATACCTATCCCATCAACAGCCAAGCCCGTTTTTTCAC